GAAAGTCTAGAGATCTAGATGCATTGGGGTCCAGAGAGGTGGTGATGAAGTGAAGGTGGGTGTGAGTAAGTGTGGATGAGAGGGAGTGTGAGTGTGAGTGAGAGTGGGAGAGTGAGTGAGTGTGAGTGTGAGAGTGAGTGTGAGAGTGGGAGAGGCTTTCAAGAGCTGCGGCGCCTTCAATGGCTTCTTGAAAGAGCATGAATCTTTTCTCCTTGACGATCACCACCATGTCCAAAGTGCTGCACTTGCCACGAAAACTGCATCTCGAAGTAAAACAGCTCCGACCCTTTGCACCTGTCACGAAAAGTCGACTTTGGAGCACCAAAACACGAGGTTTCCCTTGCGCCAGCCACGAAAAGTGACCACCATGTACTAAAATGCGCACGGCACCACAACGAGAGCGCAGTCGTTAGCCGCAGACACCCAGATTCTGACCCAGATTCTGCGAGCCTGCGCAGTCGAAGTGCACATGGACGATGTCGAGAGGCATGAATGTACTGTAAATAGCAATGAATTAGCCGTTCACGCCGGCGCGCTTCAGCGATCTAAGCATCAGCTGCCTTTCCCCTACCGTAAGAACCCCTCAGTGTGCCCACACTGTTTGGGGAAAAAACAAAATGGAATCCCAAAGCCACTTGGTTGTAGAGGGAACTGGTCTTGCACTCTTGCACGAGTTTTCCTTCTCAGCTTCTCTTGGCCACTAGAAAGAGCTTCCTAAACTGACCCAACTGAGGGTCTATCATTCCCAAACTGACCCAACATGACCCAACACATCTCCACCTTAAAGCCTTGCCAAGCTGCACGCCCTTCAAGATATGATTGTAGGTTTCTCCCAAGGTCAAGTGTCGCACACTGTGAGGGATCTTCCAGCTTCTCATGCTCATATTGAACCTCATTGTGCCACATGTGTGTCAGAAATAGGGAAGGTAGGGCTTCGCAGCATCAGCAGGAAAGTTCCGGAATGTGCCATGGCTTTATCGTCTCAATCACACACACACAATCTCACTCTCTCACAATTCAGTTCCATATCCAATCCCTTCTTTACTCCATCCGTATGTCGTGGTGACCAACTAAAAGCTCACACACGCTTTTCCTCACCATGGCACATCCTTCCGAAGACCAAGGTCTTCAAATTCTCGCCCAAATTCACGCCTGACGGCGAGATCGTGCAGCCAATGCGGCGATCATGAACAGCCAACTTTCGATCATGCAAAGGTCAAAAGTCCCATTTGTGCATCTCATGTGCCTTTGTTTCGCCAAAGCCCACGTCTCCCCACAAATTTCTTAAAGTGCCAAAATGTAGCTTCAGGACCTTCAGTTTGTGGCCAATGTTCCATGATCTCAATTCGTCTGTCGCTGCTTAAACAAGAAGGTAAGGTAAGGTCACGCGTCACGCGTCTACTCCAAGGTCCTGAGTCTGAGTTGGTGGCCTTGGATTTGCTGGAACCTGGAAAAACTTTTATGAAAAAAAGAACATGCCAGACAGCAGAAGGGAATTTACACTCCGAAGAGAGTACCCTGATTTACCTTTTTTGGGGATGGCCCTCAAGGCCCCGAGTGGGTCCCGGTGTGACGAATGGGTTCCGCTTGGACCCCGGCGACGAACAGGTAGGCGAGCCTGTTGGCGGTCAACCGGCGACCAGGTGGGCCAGGAGATAACCCGGGACCTTCGAATTCGGATTGACACAAAACCATCAAGATGAGATTCGATCATTTAGAAGGTGTGGCACGAATTCATTTACAGTGCTGTAATTACTGTATATATATATATATTTGATTGGTCTTCTTGTCTGTACCCTGGTTTGGTCGTTTTGTATCGCCGCTTCCCCCGCTTCGTTTCGCAAGCGAAAACGGCACGGCCGAAGCGAGCGGACCGAGCGAGCGGACAGGAAGACGGGCAGGAAGACGAAGGTCTTGTCCCCCCAAAAGGACCGCCATCTGGGACTGGAAGACTGGAGGACTGGTCTGACCGGCATCGTGACTGGTTTGATGTTGGATTCTTTGGAAGGAAATTCTCTGATGATTCTGATCTGTGGCGAAGTCACCTGTGCGGCGTGAACTCACCTGTGCTTGTCCAAAGCCCAAAGGAGGAACGTCAAGTTCCGCAGGAACTGAACCTTGTCCAAACAAAACACTCGCAACTTGAGGGTATATAGGACAAAACCCTACACTCGCAGTCCGTACTTGCCGTGCACTTGTTGCAAGACTGGCTGGCTTACGAAAAAAGCCCAAGATCTAAGATCCATGACCACCCGCCGCAAGGTCCGCGCCTTTCATGCTCTGATTGAAGTTATGTCCGAAGATCAGCTCCTCCAAACTGCTGGGTATCTGCACGTTCTTCAAGCTGCGATTGAAGTGGGCCCCGAACTGCAATTTCCTGGCCGCGACCCATGCGGCGACCCATGCGGTGTTGAAGCATGAGAAGGACTAATTAATTATACTATGGTGCGTATCATCTTTCATGGACTTTGGACACTTGGACACCGCAGGGTGAGCAGTATAGTAAGGAATCCGAATGATCCCGAATCCGGACATCGGTTTGGGGTGGCTTTCCATTTACCGAATTCTTGGGACAAAAAGAGACTTCGGGGCACGCGGCCGCTTCCCAAACAGGCCGCTTCCCAGCCAGGTTTAGGCGCCTGGCATTTGTGGGGAAACATCTTCACCTGGTTTGGTCACTGCGAACCGTTCGCCCCTTCACAGGCTCCCAGGGCTTACTGGACCATGGCCATTGAGTACCAGGGCCCCACAAACCATCAAACACCTGGTTTTCCCTAGCAAAAAACATGGTTTGTATATGAGAAGACCTTTGTTTTTTCATGGTTTTGAGGGCCATTGAGTACCCTCTTGAGATTGCAAAAGTTTTGGGTTGAGTACTGGTCGAGCCAAGACTTAACCTCCACCGGCCGTGACGCACCCGACTCCCGCAGTGAAACACTGGAAGTCCAATAAGTGAACCAAACTGTCCACCAGTGGGGAAACCCTTTAATTAATCAGGAAGAGGCTTTGCAGGTGATCCACTTTTCATGACGTAATATTAGGCCTGAACTTATATAAACCTTTTTACACAAAGAGTCAACAAACAAAAACAACTCTCCATCCCCCTCATCAGTCTCATCCTTCGCACCTCAAGGTGCACGGCAAAACGATCTCATCGAGCTTCGTGTCGAAGTCGTCGCCGAAGACCAAGCTTGGCCGATGCGTCGCGAGCTTCGGGCGCCGAAACGCCCCAGGCCCATCTACCAGAGGCCTTGGGATTTTTTCCTCCATTTCCGTTCGACCAGGCTGGGCGAAGGTGGGACATCTTTCGAAAGACCTGGGTGCTGGGACCAGGAGTTGGGGATATGCGAAGGTATGACTCCCGAGCCGTTGAACTGGAAAGTAGAGGTTCGCCGAACTATCCACCTATAGGGTCATGTTAAGTTTATCCACTCACGTCCCAAGGCCAGAATGACCTGCCATCTTGAGACCACACATGGAGACAACACGCCAGCTATATACCTGTTTTTTTGGAGGAATTTGTGTGGCAAGCCAAGTCATCAATGAGAGGTGCTCAAAACCATCGCCCGGATGGTCCGGATGCAAATCTCTGAGAACACGCAACTCTTCGGTGGCTGTTTTCACCCTGGCAGCGCAACGTTCCTCCCCATCGTTCGTCTGTATTACCGCGTCCGTATTGTCTGCTGGGCGTCGTGTGGATCCGGGTGTGCGCGAGGTCCAATTGTAGGGCCATGTCGGGCTGGTAGAAGTTCCACCTGCGCGAACCCCGCAACCCCGCTCGCACTCAGACGTCGCGCCCTTCCAGCAAGGCCGAGCCGGGCGAAGCCGAAGCCTTCGACTCGAGGCCAAGCATGGGGGTTCCAACATCCGGATCATCCGGGATGTTATTCTTGGATTTGTTGTCCAAGAACCATGAAAACTTAGGTACATAAAAGTCATCCCAAGAAGGGAATAAGGGATTCACGACATAAGCGAAAAAGAACGATCACCCTTGCTCATGGGACGATATTTGGACTCCATTGGACCCTCAGTTCGCTCGGGTGAAAACACCCTCCCTACGATAGGGTTTGGCCTGAAACTGCTCAGGACCAAGTCGTTCCAGGTCGAGGTGCTTCCGACTGGAGGACGTCGGGGTGCCCCGAACGTCACATCACATCCACTCCACTTCTTAATCGTGACCATCCACACCACCCCAGCAGCTTCATGTGACTCCGACTTGGCCCAAAACCGTCCACTCTCCGTGTGGCGACCGGCGACCGGTGGGAAGTGGAAGATCTCGGCTCCTATGGCGAGGCAGCGGCGCCTATGAATGTTGAGCTGCAAGATCTCAAGGCTCCGAGGCAGCGGCACATCGGCACCTCGACTCCCCACAGAACAACGACGAGGGCCTCATCGCCAGACTCACCGGGGCAGACTCGGGTTGCAGACCTTTGTGGCAGAATGTCGAGGGCGTTTAGCCCTCCTTTTCACCAAGGGCAAAACTCCTATAGAAGAACACATGCCCGGTGTGTTCTTATGTGTGCGCGCAATTGCCAGTTGAGTTTGTCGATGTGTATCCCTCAAGTACGTCAGTGTTTGGGTCCACCGACCCTCCCAAAGACCTCACATGGACCCAAATCGTCCCTGGATGGTCCTGGAACACCCTGGTGTTCCGATGAAGGCTGCACCTGTGGCTTTTGCTCCATGCGAGTGGGGGTACATTGGTACATGTGGCAGTGGGTGATCTTGACCCTGGCAGACTCAAAGCCTCTCCATACATCTTCATACCACCCCCAGACATGGCATGGTAAAACATCTTCATACATGTTGTGGTGGGTCCTTGGCACCCGGATCCGGTTGACCTACCTGGTGCCAGTGTTTGTCGACACGGTGGACTGGTTGGGCTGCTCAGCCATCCATCCGATGGAGAACAATTCTGGTCTTCAGGGACGGGGAACGGCATCTGCTTGCCTGGAAGCGCCTGGAAGCACACACCCCATAGACTCTGAGAAGCAAACAGTGTAGTTCTGCAAATCCCCCACCCCAATGTCGTTCGGTGGCCCCAGTCGTCCTAAAACCGGACCCAAAGACCCAAAGATCATGTAGACTCTTGATTAATACACCCCCCAATTGAATTGACAATCCTCTTCCAAAGGGGGGTTTATTTTGCTTTAGGGATATCAAGAGTCTACTATTAGGTCAAACCGTCCTATGAAAAACGAGAGGTGGTCCATTTGGGTCCGCAAACTGGGTTCTATAGGTCTACCAACCGGTTTCTGGACTCTGCCGCAAACTGGAGCCTCTTTCAAAGGTGCCATGGCAACGATTGCCAGGCCACTCTTCAAGCACATCTCCCGTGGACCTTCAGCCTCATCAGGTGCTTGCCCCGGCGGCATCTGGCACCGGCGAGAGGTGGCTTCAGAGTGTGGCTGAGAGTGAGGGAAAAACCAGGACTGGTTGGGTGAACATGGTGCCATGACACCCATAACTGCGATGGAATTCTCGGTGTGCATGAGTGAGATGAGATAGATTTGGCAGAGATGGAGATGACTTTCGGTGCCGTGAGCAGGACTTGGACTGACTTGAGACCCGAGGAGGGCTTGGACTTGGGAAGCTGGAAGAGTATTTGGGGCTACTACCTCAAAGCGCACTGAGATGAGGAAGGGGATCGGGACATGACCAAAGTTGAATGATCCTCCCCACTCCCCACCACACTGGCAGCTGGTCTATCATAGCAATAGTGGTTGATGGCTTTCCAAAGTCTATCCACAATTCCATTACTGTAAGGTTTAGTGCAACCTAGTAATGTTGACGCCTGATTAGTAAAGGGGGGTCCCCCCCCCTCAAACAAACAGGGGTACCTCTATAATAAACTATCACCAAAACAAATCTGGATTCCTGGTGAGGGATCTTTTGTAATTGATTGTAGTATTCATTATCCTTTTGCTTTGCAGCCTCAGATCTTCAGCTCAAGAGAAGCCCCAAGCTCTCAGCTTCTTCCTCAGCTTTCATGGCTTCCTTCTCAGATGAAGTACTGGTGAAGGATCTTTTTGGTTCTGAGACCTCTTCTGTTGCTTGGTTGTGCTTAATCAAGTGATGTGTTTGGTTTGCTCAATCCCCTTGTTAGGCTAGGCTCCAGCTGTCAGCTGAGAAGCTCAAAGAAGAGGCTGAGAGCAAGGCTCTCACTCCCTTGCAAAAGGGCGAGCTTTTGCATGAGGCCTCAGAAAGGTTGCAGAGGAAAAGCAAGCTTCTGGAGAAGCCTGGCTACAAGAAGTCTCAAGTCAGAAGGCTCATTGGCTGGCTGGGTGCCAAGTATGTCTCAGCTGAATTAGTGACCAACATTTCTGAGACTGAGAGCAAGACCAGGTGCCTCCTGACTTGGCAGGAGTTTGACAAGACCTTGTGGTTGGCCACCTGTGCCACAGCTGAGACCTTGAAGGCCTCAGACAGAGTGGCATCTCCTGAGGACTTTGTCTCAGCGCGTCCTCACCTTGTCATAGGCTTCTCAGATCAGATTCCTCTGTGGGCCAAGGCCACTGGCAGGAAAGCTATCTTTGCTGAGGAAGAGCTCCAGAAGCCTGAGCACATCAAAGACTTCTCAGAAGTGAGGAAAGCCATTTTGGATATTATGCACTCAGATGACCCTGCTGAGATGGTGGTGCAACCACTGGAAAAGAAGCAGAGCTTTGAGTCAGCCACACCACCAACAAAAAGGCAGCTCAGCTTTCCTTCCTCAAACCCAAGTCCACCCAGCAGTATTGTGAGGAAGCTCAGCTTTGGGGAGTCAGCAGGGTCTTCTGAGCAAGTGGTGCCTGCCACACCTGAGGAACAGCCAGAACCTGACAACAGCAGTCAGCGTGCAGTGGCACCTGCAATCCCTGACAAGGAGGTGAGCTCAGCCCAGCAAGGAGCCCAGAAACCTGCCACACCTGAGGAACAGCCAGAACCTGACAGCAGCAGTCAGCATGCAGTGGCACCTGCAATCCCTGACAAGGAGGTGAGCTCAGCCCAGCAAGGAGCCCAGAAACCAACACCTCTCCCTCAGGCCTCAGCCACCACCATCATTGGGGTGTCAGGTGATGAGCGCTTTCGCATCACCTATGAAGCAAGGCAATTGCTTCATTCAGTGCATTCTCAGGATGAGATTGTTGGATCAGTGGGCAAGGGCCTGCTGGTTGTGCCTGGCCAGTGGGCCAGGCTCAGCAACATCTCAGAGGGTGGCACTTGGCTGAAGACTGAGAGCTTCCAGGTTGGAGACAAGACTGTTGTCAGGAAGCAAGGAACCTCAGTTGGAAGGATCCTGGAGCCCTACAGGAAACTGAGGAAGAGCCACCCTGAGTTGATGTCCAAGCTTGAGGTGATGTCTCAGCCTGCCAGCAATGTGGACTCAGTGATCCTCACTTGGTCTATCCAAGCTCAGGCTGAGCAGTACCCATGCTCAATGTGGATGAGAGACTGCTTCAGCTCAGTGTTCACTGACTCAGCTGCTGAAGCCATGGCTTTGGCCAACCAGCTAAGCTGCCTTGTAGCTGAGAAATGCACTTCCAAGCGCCAGATCACTGACACAGACTTTTGCAAGCAGTTCAAGGCACTGGTCAGGAGCAAGCTGACTGAGATGAGATCTGAGTGGCAGACTCAGATCAGAGATTCCCACTCAGTTTGGAAGTTTGGCCCAAAGGAGATTGTCACAGCAGTGGTTCATGCCCAGGAATTCCTCAGTGACAAGAATCTCAGAGACCAGTGGGTCCTAAGGGCTGCTGTCAGGAATGGGTTGTTGGTTTACAGGCCAAACCCTCAGACAGGAAAGCTGGAGGAGCTGCTGTCTCAGAAATGGGCCCAGGAGTTGAAGCTTGAGATGGGCACTAAGAGGTACAAGCCTGAGTACCTCAGTGACAGACTCAAATGGCTCAACAGTGAAGGTGTGCCCGTAGATGCTGACTGGAATTTGAGCGAGGTGGCTAAGAGCATCACAGACCTTCAGGTATGGGACTATTTTCACCCTGAAGATGAAGATGAGACAGGAGAGCTTCAGATCACAGATGCCCTCAATGAGGATTTGGAGCTGGAGCTCCAAAACTCCTTGTCATTGAGGCTGAGTCCTGCATTGAGGCGAGCTGGCCTCAGGAGATTGGGCACCAAGCAGTACAAAGAAGCAAAGCTCTCAGAAAAGAAGAACCCCAAGCACAGGGCAGGTAGGGGAAAGCTCACAGGAGCAAGTTGGTAAAGGCTTTGGCTCTGAAGGTTCAGTCCCAGTCCAGAAGAGAAGCCTTAGCAGAGATCAAGCCTGAAGCTCAGCAGAAGAAGAAGAAGGCTCAGAAACCTTCCCTGGTCTTGAAGGCAGCACTGAAGATGAAAGCAAGTGCCAAGACTAAGCCAAGCCTGCACTCCAAGCCCTCAGCTGTTGCAAAGGCAGAGAAGAAGATGGCTCTCAAGGCCAAAGCTGACAAGGAGCTGCGTGCAGCTGAGAAGATTTCTGCTGAGGAGGCACCACCCCTGCCACCCCCAGCAGAAGGCCCTCCAGCCAGTGAGGAAGATAGCCTTCTTCACACTGATGTTGTGGTGATCTCAGAGGCAGCTGGCAAGACCAGTTTTGGCAAGGTTGGCAGCCTCATGTCCTTCTCTTCTTCCTCAGGAGCCTACACCTTGCTGAGTGACACTGGTGCATACCAGGTGATGCCTGAGTGGCTGGAACCCAAGGACAGCAAGCCTGCTGTCAAGCCAGTCAAGTGGCCCAAGTGGAGCCAGCTCAGCAAAAAGGACACCAAGCTCATCTTGACTCAGCTCAGCAGCAACCCTGAGGATCAGAGCTCCCTGCAGTTTGATGAATGGTCCTACCACACAGTCCTCCCATGCCCTCAGGATGTTGCTGAGGTTGAAGACCAGCACCTGTGGTTGGGCTGGGTTCTGCTGAGGTGGATGCTGAGCAAGAGCAACTTGCCAAGCTGTGAGGAGTTGGGGATCAACTGTGTTGATCCCATCCTCAGCAAGCTGTTGAATGATCAGGATGACCCCTATCAGCTAGCAGCCTTAGAGGCTGGTGTTCAGAGCTGCTGGCTTGAGTCCACCAAGGTTCTCTTAGTTCCCATCTATGCATCCTTCCACTGGACCCTGCTGGTGGCTAAACGCGAAGGCCCTCAGCACCCCATAGCATGGACAAGGTATGACAGCCTCAGCCAAGAACATGCTGAGTCCCACCCTGTCCAGCTGAGAATGGGGAAGCTGCTGGATCCTCAGTTTGAGCTGCCACCTCTCAAGAATGTGGCCAAGCAGCCCATTGGCTCCAATGCCTGTGGCTGCTATGTGCTCCACTACATGGAGGGTGAGCTCAGAACCTTGAGGGGTGAATGGCTGTCAGTTTGGCCTGAGGCAGGTTGGAAAGCATGGAAGGAAAGGCTCAACAAAGCTTGTGGCAAGCTAGCCTCAGAGGCTGAGGCTTTGACTGAGGCAGTAAAGCAAGAGCAAAACAAGCTCTCCAAGCAGCAAGCTCAGGTGAAAGAGACCCTGGACAAGGCTCAGAGCAAGCTCAAGACCCTCAAGAATGTCACCTCTGCAGCCTACTTGGCTGCTCAGGAGCTGGTGGATAAGAACTCAGTCACCTTCACATGGAAGAATTTGTCTGAGTCTGCTACTAAGTCTGTCTTAGCCTTAGAAGCTGCACTGGGCAGGTGTGCTAAGTGCAGGTGGCAGTCTGGTTGCTTGGCCTGTGACCCCTACAAGTGCCTCAGACACCACCTGCACAAGGAAGCAGCTCAGGCCAAGAAGCAGGCCTTCCTCAGCCAAGGACTAGGGTTGTAATTAGTTAGTTAACATCTTGTTTGTGGTCTGTTTGTTTGTGTTTTGCTTTGCTGCTGGCTGCTTGCCTGGGAAGGGAGGGGGGAGTGCAGGTGGACAGGGTTCAGAAGGAATTCAATCCCTGATTTATTGGGTTTCCACTATAAAAATTTAGGCCCCAAATTTTTTTTAGCATTATAGAGGTACCATTTTTCAAACAGGGGGGTCTGAATAATTTTGGAAAAATTTAGCATTATAGAGGAGCCCTTTACTAATCGTGATCCAACATTATAACCACAGCAAGCTACAAAGGTAACTATGCAACCCCGCAAGATTGGCCATATAGGCCACAATGTTGAACTTTGTTCCCCTGCAGTGCACGTGCGCACGCGCGAAGCTTGGAGGCTTTCTGGGCCTCCCTTGTTCGCCATCTGAAAACAGGGGCTGCTTCAAAAGCAACAACATGTAAACAAGCCGCCAAAACATAGAGTGGTGATGACATGCGATGAATCATTTACAGACTTCAAGGAAGCACCACCAAATGTCAATCTCCGGTTTTTGCACTCCATGTTTGGGCACGTACCATGTCCACCCAGTCCGCAGGTCCACCTTTGTCTTTTTCGGTCCACCTTAGACATCCTTACAGTTACACATTTCCACTGTGGAAGTGTCCAGCTTGGGACTCGCCACAGCCTGGACCCCAACTAGTGGATATGTTGTTTATTTCCCTTCGACACAACCAGTTCAATTAAGCCTTCCGTTCCAAACTACAAACCCTTTGAATGGAAACCATGTCTTTGGGTTTTTTGCTTCTTGCCTGCGGCTGGATGTGGTGAATCATCTGGAAAAGCTGCGCCGCCTCTCTCCGGGGTTCCTTGGCTGGAGACAGGAGGCAGCAGGAAACATACAAAGAATCTTCAGCAATGTTGACTATTGATAAAAATACTAAACCCACCCCTTTTATCCCCTTTTGAATTGAACAACCTCTGCATATATGGGAGGGGTCTATCAAGAGTATTATGGGGATTCACTCATACCTTTTTGGAATCCGGGCCCACAACACATACATATATATACGTCATATACTTTGGGAACCAGGTCCGGACCCCTGCAAAATGGAGGGCCCAGACTCGGAGTCTTAGGCTATGGTGAAAATCAAAATCACCTTAAGCACAACCAGGGTTCCCGCTCCTTCATCAAGCTCTGCCAGGCTCCCCACAGATTCACCTGCGAATGAAGGCAGGGCACACGTGCGGGGACGGGACCCGAGGCTCCTGGGGAGCGGGTTTGGGTTCCTGATGCGCTTCTATATTTGTCTCCGGTGCAGCGAACATGAAGAGATAACAGAGGGTCTTGGTGTTTTTTCATGGGGCGTCTTCTGGAGCGATCTATCTTCGCAACTCTGGGCCTATCTACTTCATGGTGAGTTCCACGCAGAAAGAAAAAGGCTTGAGTTCATTCGGATGTTTGTGTTCCCTGTCCGAGGGTGTGTTTTTTTGCCGGGGATGCTGACGTTGGGATTTTAAGCGCAAAAGCTACAGGCTTCCCACCCAAACGCTCCGAATCCTCTAAAACACCTTGGGACCCGAGAGTTTCTCGGTCGGTCCGAGAGAAACGATGCAGGTGATGCAATCACCCAGTCTTTTAACGACCTGTTGCTTCACTGGTAACGCAAGACTGGCACTGGTTGACACACATGGCATCTCGCCAGTCCCTTGGGATCCGACTCATATGGGATCCGACTCCGGCGCGACACTGGGATCCGACTTCGACCGCCCGTCTTGGTCACCCACCCGGTCACATGGGGGCGACCGGCACGTCCGGTGACGGGATGAGGGATGAGGGTCGGGGTTTAGAGACCGGTGAACCTGGTTCTTCCCCTCGATTGAGATCATGAAAGGGCCTTTTCAAAGGTCAAGGATCCCCCCAAAGGTTTGGTCACTTCGAAGAAGGTAGTGAACAAACTTTTGAACTCGATCAGCTCATTGCACCGTACTGCTTGACTTCCGAATCAGCTACTTACCTGCTGGGATACCTGGGATCTCCAGCACCTAAATACCCAATGAACTCTGTTAGATAGTTCAACAACCATAAAAACCGTGGGTTCCATGGCCCTCAGATGGTGCAATCATGTTCCCCCCTCCCGCACCCAGATTTCGTGGTCGTAACACCGGGCTTCTCACCTTGTGGAAGACATAGCTGACCACAGCACCATCTGCCAAATGCCGGTGCAACGGCTCAGAGAGCAGAAGCTCCTGAAAACTCCAACAACGGACTCTAGACTTCACTCTGTTTGGGTTGGTGCACTATTTGTTCAGCCCTGAATGTTACTTATTTTGCAACGTGTTCTGTTCCACTTCTATCGTCGCACAGCTTCGCACACAGCTTCGCACACTGCGACCAGCTTGTAGAAAGAGGTGAGCGGTGAGCGGGGACTCTGAGATGGTGCAAGTATTGATTCATGACTCGTTGACCTGAGAGGTGTGAAAGGTGCGAACCTGCTGTGAGGTTCGATGACGAGTGCCAGGCTCCATGGTGCCAGGCCTGTGCCTACCGTGTGAGGTGGAACAGATTCCACCAAGACGGCAACAGATCGTCCGAAAGAACAAATCGTCCACCGTGGCGCCATTGAAACGTTGGTTTTTTTCTGTTCGGAGATTGGCCTGGAAAGGCGGGTCTTCACCGAATTTTACCATAACGATTACATTGTGACATGCTACCGAATCAGCAGTGACACGAGTGCGCCAGTTTGAAACAAAATACATCCAGCCAGCCTGCAACATCTGGGCGAAAAACGACGGTCGCCCGACGCGTCTAAGACCGGTGAAACGACCCGGTGGTCACTATTTAGGATGATCATGGGAGACATGAAGGCTACTGAAAAACAAGAAAACATCAATGTGAGATCTGTTGAGATCTTCTGAATCCTTCTTACATCATTACATCATGTGTACCTCATTTTGATATATATATATATATATATTGATCAACACTCGATGGGACTGGCAACAAGATCTGTTTTACACCATTTTACAGCAACATTTGATTCCGACACCCACCATTCAAATGGGTCATGACGTCATCATGTCTGCCCAGTCCCATCGGTTTCTGGCTTTTTCCGGAGGGCACTGAGTCGTCGTCCTGGGCTCCGCAGTAGAGTTTCAGCTGCCCGGAGCGCCGACCCACACGCTGCTGGACCAGCTCCAGAAGCTCCAGACCTGTGGCGCCGCTTCCGGCGTGACCTGGTGTCTGGGAAGTGTGGTATGTAAACAAATCAACATGCAAACCTGCAGCTGGAAGGTCAAGCAAATGTGGAGATAAAGACACCTGACATGTGTCAATAACTCGCGAAAGACACCATGATTCACCCGACCAGTACACCAGTTAGGTCAACGGTATCGGTATCCTGGTGACAGTTCCCCACAGAATCCTGGCATTTCACATGAGCTGGGCCACATCTGTGTCACCGCCCAGAATCCTGGCAGTCTCATGCAACGTCTGGTGTGGAGCGTCTCAGGGTTCTCTTGTTGCAGGATGTGCCCACGACATTGCTAAGCCTTGACATTATTCTTTTCAGGACACTCCTCAAATGTTTCTTTCGATGTCCACTAGGATGGGTGAAAACGACGGATCAATCGAAAGCTGCATTGTTTGATCTGCGAAGCTTCTCAGGTCGAAAATGCTTTCAGCCAGGAAGCTTGGCACGCACAGAGCGATGCTACACAGCAGTCGCTTGATCGACGTCGTTGCAAAGCAGGAGTGCTGAAAGAATACTGGCGGAAGGTCTACTTTGTTCTGTTCATTTCTATATAGAATCTTAGAGTAAAGTATGGTAAAGTAACAAGTCACCGTTTGGTGCGAAATATGTTCAGTAGAAGGCCAGGAACAACAACACAGATCTTCAGCGATTGGTCAGACGGAGCGAATCCTTCAAGCCCTAAACCCTAAACCACGTTAAAGTCCTCTTCATGACTAAGAAAAGAAAAGGTGCTTGTCATCCACGGTTGACCGCTGTGTCATCTCAAGAATTCCCAACCGAACGAAGGCGGACGAAGGCGAAAACTGGGCGAACGCTGGCTCTCGAATCGATCCGGGGCGATCTGCTGCGATCCTGGTGCTACCTGGGCTAAGCAGCCAGACTCTCAGGTAGCTGGAGACTTAGAACTAGAACTTAGGACCTGCTCCTGTGTGGAGCTCTTCAAAGATACGGCCTTTTTAAGAAACCCACATGGAACCTGAAAACTATACTATACGGGTTTCTGTATAGTCAGCTAGAGGAAGCTATAGTCTTCCAAAATCTTCCAAGTGTTCATTTCAGCTTCCATGTTCATCTTCTTTATCTTGCCAGGTGTATCCATTTGGGTCGATCCTCGTCATCCCTTGCCACCCCTCATTGCCCCTGGCTTCCAGCCTAAGGCTTCTCGATCCACGCGCAGCTCAAAGTCAGAGCCATCCAACCTGGGCGTTTCAATTCACACAGAGAACTGGGAAAAGACACATACCAGCAGTTCCAAAGGGTCTTTTAGTCCCATCCAGGGGCCGTGGATGTGACAGGGGCAACCTTACCCTCCAAGAGGCACCCCTTTGCAACTGCTGGTACAAACATATTCTTCTCCAGTGAGTTTCGGGGACTCCAAACAAACAGATTCTCCGACTCACTAAAGTGAATGGTGGAATTATGGCTGCTTGGATGAGCATGTTCCTTTATATGAACAGAGTGGCTGCCCTCACTTCCACTGCACGTGAGTCCTAGGGAAAAGATGTGAAAATGATGAACATGAACCATCACACGAAAACCGCAAGAGCAGGACACACATGTGGAATCTGATCCTCCCAATCTCTTTTGGGGCTATGGGGTCACCCATAAGTCAACCCAGTGATTCCTTTTTTTCTTGTTTCGCAAATACTGAGTTCCGCAAAAACTCTCGATACTTACACACATGCACAAAGGAAATCAGGTAGCCCAGTACTTCAAATAAAACCAACAAACAATAACAACACTGTAAGTGTTCAGCCGCTTCCGA